GATAGGTATCACGTTCATTCATTTTTGATAATTTATTGGAAACAGGAAAAATAAAGGTGTTCCAGTATGACTCCTCCTGGTTTGGGTGAACTGAATACGTGACTTATTTGATTTTTGACTTTTCCACCCCTTTTACTATTTCTAAAGCTTGTTCAATTCCTTTTGTCCACTGACAATACGGCAGCAGGGGGCTTTTAAATGGATACCAAGTGGCAGCGTGAAATTATTGGAGAAAAGGAAATTACGTTCATCTTCAATTTTTGTTTTATTGTTGTTGCTTCGAGTGAAAAGCATTTGCTTCCATATTCAGATAACAAAGAGCTCCATCCCATTTATTTTGAATGTAGCGACACACGACGTCAACCATTTCATTCTAACAAAGCCTGATAAACCACATGAATAAAATTATAATACAGCACGAGTCACGAATCGAATGAATCAGTCATAACTGAGCTTTCGGCCGGAGCCGTTCGGTATATACACAAGAAAAGCAGAGCTCCAGGAGACTCATATGGCTCGTTATATTTAGTCTTTGAAAAACTTGTCACAGCTAGCATACTATTCCTGTACTTCAGTCCTTGATGGAGGGCTCCTAAAACTTCTAAGTCTCAAGAGTGACCAACATCAATTTTCTCCTCAAACTATCAGTGAGAAAAAGTTATGAGAATTACTAAAATGATCACCTTAAGGAGAATACTTCGATCTTTTAACAAATTCTCTCAACCAGTTTTTCAAGGAAACATATAGAGATCAGTATGGAGAATTTCTAAGTGGATATTGGGGCGCAAAGGGTTAATATTACACATGATGAGACACAACCGAGTCGCGCGTAAAACTGCTGGGTTGCTTACCAATTATTACATGTTAGATTGTCTCGGGTTTCGTTTTCGTTTGCAAGTTGACCAGATGGGATCTAGAGGCACCTTCGAAAAAGCCAGATTTATACTGATTAAGCAGCCATAATGTATTCATACCGATGATTCAGTTGCCATCAGTGAAACATTACAAACCGATAGCGTGAGAAGTTCGAGTTTTACTTCTCTTTCGTGAGTGCGATCAAAAACTGAGAGGGACATAATTCAGGGTCTGGAAGGGGGGGGGGGGGGTCCTGATCCCGCATTTCCGCCCCTTTTTCGCGAGAATCCCGCATCCTGTACGTTTTTCATCAGTTTCCTGAATCCCGCTTTTCTTTCCTGATACATAATAATAGCCGGTCGCTCGGCTGGCGATCCAACACATATCAGTTTACGTTTCAAGCAAAGGTATGGGACAGAAACTCTCAAATGCTTGTCTTCTAGAATTCTGAAAGTAAAGGGAGAAAGAAGGAAAAACATGAAAGTGTTCCTAAGCTCAATTCGTTTCCTTAGAATATTTCTTCTCTCCATTTATGTACAACTGTACAGTTCTTCCTTAACTTCGAGATTTTTTTTATTTCTCTCAGTGTGTGTTATGGAAACCGGTATAATGTCTCCAGATGTATTAAAGAAGGCTTTGCCCTTTGTAGCTGACAACAAGTCATATACAAGATTGAAAGGGAATTTTGAAAACCAGTTTTAGTTGAAATCCATTCAAAAATACTCTGGTATGGAAAATGAATACAACCCGGAAATCTTATTATAATTTCTTTTAGGACTGCAGTGGAAGTATTGGACCGCGGACGCCCATATAAATTCCATCAAATTTCTGCGCAGTCTATTAAACTGGTGCGAAAAACACAAAATGAGATTTAAATGGTTGCATTTGCCTCTTAATGTTCTCACGAGAATTACTACGCTTTGCTTTCCAGCGTACCAAAATGCGTTACAAAAGAAAACCGTTACGTTTATCAAGCAAAATTTAACAGCAGGAAATGTTTAGATTTGGGCTCACTATACGTTTATTGTTTTGTCAAATAGCCGTGAGCCCAGTGATATTAACAAAAAAACTTAGGGTGTATTAAGAGCAACGATTAAAACATTTGTTTGGTGTTTCACACTGAATGACCCAAGGATTTTCATAGTAACTGTTGCCCTGGCAATCTGCAGCGTAAATACAAACACCAAATGCATGCAATAAATATGAACTTGTTTAGAAGCAATACACGTCTTTACCCATATTTGATGGGAACTTACAAAAGTTGTCTGTTTTTCAATAACACAGATGTTCATAAGACAAACTTGAAATGCTCCCCACCCTCCCCCCCGTTAAAAACGCTGCCGTTTCTCCTTAACGTGCAAGTTGCTAGCCGGTCAATAAGTGAATTCATAAAATATAGTCAATTAGTAAAATCCAGCTAGTGGTTTATTATGAATGCTGCGTTCTGATTGGTTGAGCTACTACTAGGCTATATGTTATGGCCCCCTAGTAGCGAAAACTGCGGGCTTTTTGGAGGCAAAAAAGGCTTCAAGTCTAGCTTTTAACTAGTTAAAATTTTTTTATTCTCGATATTTTTGGCCTTCGGCCTCATGGGCTATTGACTCAGAGCCCAATCGGGCTCGAGGAATAATTGTCAATAAGCTTTAATTTGGTACCAAAATTACTTGGTCCTAAAGGGGGTGCTACGAAAATCACTTTTGGGGGCCGTGGCTCATGGACTAATGCATTTCAAAGCATCATAATAATAAGACATAAACCGATTAAAAAAAAAGGTAATATTTTGTTCACAAGGCAAGGTTCGACAATAGGGAATCTTGTTTTTTAACTTTAAGCATCAATGAGTTACGAGTCAGTCCAATATCTTGTCTTGTCCATTAGAGGTAACTCTTTTGAATCGAAATAACCGAAAATGTTTGAAATATGATTGGAACTCCATCAATTCCAAGGTTTTTTGTTTCTATATTTAACTTAAATCTTCTTTCGAGAAGGATTTATGAAATTCTTCGGCAGCGCATCAATGTACTTTTTCGTACTAAATCCAGCTTTAAGTGTCTTACTTTGCCTTTATTGTTTGTTTAACTAAATAGATTTAATACTTGTGGACTGTAACAGTATATGCACCAACAACAACTGCACGAACTTTACTGTTTAGCAAACTCTCAGCACAAAGAGCGACGTAGGCAGTTTCAACCTCTTGGTACAGAACAACAAAAATAAGTTCGCTGGGTGGTAGTTGGGTTTTCAACTTCCAGTACTACTTGAAATCCAAATTAAAGCGATATTTTTTTCAGTTGAAAACCACTCAGGCTTAGAATAACGTATGTTCTTTTCAGACATGGCGTCTTAAAGAGAATGGTCTTAAAGAAGGGCATTTAATTAACGAGAGGACTTGATAATCTTTCTTTTTCTGAAGCGGTGCTATTTTACAATCGCTAACTAACAACCTTGAGAAAATTTTTTTAACGGACAAAAAATATATACACGTCGTGCTGCGTGGTCGATTCCGTTCATCGTAATGTCCTAGCTCGCCTTAAAAACTGCAGCCTGCACATTTACCCCAAAACAGGCAAAGTATTATTGAATTCCGCACTTGTTTCAGATCAAACTCCAAGAACAAGTTGCAGAGCAACAATTTTATTGGCAAATACGTTGGTCTTGCATATAACGGACTGCTTTAGCTATTGAGTTAGTTTCTTGCGGATCTCGGCCGTGGTATTCACAGTATTGTCTAGCGTAAACAGGATATCAATAGAACTTTTTAAACACTGCGATCTATTGTCAGTATATAGCTTCCATTCCTGTAGGTAATGTTACAAGTTTAGTCTATGTTTACTGGTAACTATGTTACTTCAGTCTGTTTTAATTTGGTATCGCCCCGAGCAAACCAGTAGACCTAATGACCCATTTCGTCCATAAGAATTTAACCAGGCGTGTGAGAAGTTTGTCTTGCGGAAATAAAGAGATTCTCTAAAACAAAAGGTGTGCAATTAATCACAGAAAATAAGGGCCGAAGGGGGTGGAAAAATATGGTTAATTGCCGTTTACATATCAGCAATCAGGACCTAAAGGTCAAAGAATGAATAGGCAAAAAAAACACATAGCGAACTATTTCCTATTCCAAAGTATGCAAAGGCTCGCCTTGAAATATAATGTAAAAGTTTAGGAACACACAACTTTAAGAGATCTCAACTTCCGTTTCTTGATCCATAATAGTTGCTGATTCGAATCAGTACCGATTAAACCACAACGGAAACCGCATCAAGGTAAAATAATAAAACCTTTGTTATGTCTCGTTGCCGAGCTCGATCAAGTTACATGTACTTTTGAGTATAGCAAGAAAGATTAATGCTTTGAAATCAGTGTAAAATAATTTTCTTCTTTACACCTCTACTCAATGTTTGCTCTTTGTTCTCAAATTTGCATGTCGCCCTTAACTTAGACTAAGTCACGTGACCACAAATGTGATGATCTCTACCAAAGTTTCGTGTAGTTCAGTCAAGGGGTTTGACGTAGTTTATATTTCCCTATCCTGTTTTGAAAGAACTCGTGACTTTTATAGCAACCAACAAACTTAAGTCATAATCCTCTATCGCTGACCAATATTAGAGATATCAGCATGGAGGCAAATATTTTAATTAGGGTAATAAAGCTCTGACCGAACGCCCATCTTCTTTTGTAACGAGCAATTTGCAACAGTAAAATTTATCAGTCAAAGCAGTGCCTCAGCTGGAAAGAAACAGAATTAAAATTAGGCCACGAAAATGCTGTAAATGGGCTAAAATTGCTTGAGTTTTTTTTTGGCAAGTTTTGACAGAGGCCGGGGCAAAAAAGTATCTTTACTTTCGTCATCAGTGGTCAGAAATATACGTTCTTTATGCAAATATTGAATGTTCGAGATATGTGATATTGATATTACCGCCAGATTCTTTGTTTACATTGTTTTGGATTATTTGACGGTTATTAATTGATTTCAATGACTTTTCGTTATAAAAGCTATTGCTTTTCACAATCTGAGACTGACTTTGTCGCGAACTGACTGTGTGAAGAGTACCGGGTCAGTCCTAAGGCTAGCCGTGCCCTTGGAAAACAGGTAATTTCATTTGCTTGATTTAAAAAGAAATTAACACACTTCAGTGTGTTAAGCTTCCTCTGAGCTAAGCATCAATTTTAAGTCATGGACGGTCTGTTGAATTCAATAATGGCACTAATAACTTTAAATGGTTGGCTGATACTTGAGAGCTGCTGTACAGAATTCTTTCCTCAGTAATAAAACGCAGTGCAGTGCATCGCCGGTCGTCCTTTAATCTCTAGACAGTTGCCTCGAGAGGCAATTAACCACTGCTCTGTGAAGTACCAACAAGGCTGATGTTAAAGTGGAATTAAGGGTAACTAAATCGTAAAATAGCTATATCTATTTTGTCAGGTAAACTCTTCATCAAAGTGTTAAAGATCAAACGAATGGTAGACTTTCAACAACTAAATGCTCTATTTACACCGGTAATTAGCCCCCCTGGGGTTAACGACAAAGACTCACCGTTTTATCTTAATCTTGCAGATTTCAAGTTCTTCAAAGCAAGCTTTGTCTCTCAATCAAGTTAAAGCGTACGGCATCTAAGGAGTTTCTTAGCATCGATACGACGATAATACATCCACTTTTGAAGAGTTAAAAGAAAACTTCGACCCACATGAAGCAGGATTTGATATCAGGGCACCAACATGTTGTGTTGGATACTTCTCAACCGCTTTCTTACTCGGCTCTACAGAGCGGCCTACTGAAAGCTTCAAGTTTGATGGATTTACGAAACCAAACTATGAATAAATCACGAAATCAGTCAAAGAGTGGTCGATTTCCGACGTCTTTCAGACGATTTTCAGAAACTTTTAAAGCAATGAAAAGCTTCCCTAAATCAAGTGGGACTACTAAGGATATCAGAAATGGCAGTATTTCGAGTGATAGCGGCGAAGGATCTCTTTCAGATGGACAGTCAGCTACAATCGAGACAGTAAAAAGTATTTTACGGGGTTCTGAACAATCACACCGGACACAAGGAGAAAGGAAAGAAAGCCTGAGTGGTGAAGAAGATCAAGAGAAGACCGTCAAAAAAAACCCGAAACACTTAACATTTAGAACGCATCGAAGACTAAGCTCACCGGTCACGTCACCAACAAGGCAAACTTTTGCCCACGAGTTTCAGAACCTTGGCCAACAAGCACCTGCACCGAACGCAAACGTCGCATATCGACCGCGATGGTCCTCCTTGCCTGACGCGTTATTTGGAAGTGCTAATCGGATTGAAACCACGAATATCCGGGACTTGCGAGATTTTGGTGTAGGCTGTTTCGAAGAGGATGAAGAGGTAGGTCAATACGGGAGTGATGTCAATGATGTGGGCAAATGCTTAAACTTGGCATGTTCCCAGCCAAAGCAAGCCAAGTCTTCCGTGTTACTCATTTCCGACCACAACAAGAACGAGCTAGAACTCATAGAACTGAACAAACTGCTCGACAACAAAACACTCAAGACGTCAGCGGCCATTCCTGACGAAGAAGGAATGACAATTCTCCACCGTGCGGTTCAGAGCGGTTTCGTAAACCTAACAAAGTTCCTAGTGAACAGTGGCGTGTCAACTGAAATGCGTGATCTCGAGCAAAGGACCCCACTTTGGTTAGCGTTAGAGAAAGACAATTATGAGTGCGCCGAGGTACTTGTTAGGCTCGGAGCAAATGTGAACTGTACAAAGAAAGGCGGCAGAACGATTTTGCACCAAATGGCCGACGAAGGAAACTATAAGGCAGTACAATTTCTTGCGAAACACGGCTCTGACTTAAATCTGGAGGATGACAAAGGATGGCCTGCATTGCATTACGCCTTGAAAAGGAAAGATTTAAAATGCGCTGCTCTTCTTATGACGCATGGTATGAACATTCATCGCTATACAGAGAAACGAATACAAGAATACTCCATGTCTATGGAGATAGTAAACATTGCTAAGGTCCGATTGGACGTTACAAAGAAAATCAATAATGATTTAGGACCAGAAGTAACTGTCATTTAAGGCGACTCGTGGTTCTTGGCACTTAACGTACACTGACTGCTATTTGTTCAGCAAACCACGGTTAATGCCATACAATACATTGAGAGTGGTGTCATTCTCTAATGTAAAATAATTGTTTTGTCACCAAATTATGTGTAAGGGTTCCGTGACAAATTCAAAGGCTTCCCTTGAACATATATTGGCCCACATTATAAAATCAATGATCACTGATAGTTGGACAACCAAGGGGAATTGTGAATTTGCAAGAACAGAATTTTGGCTTATGAGAAAACTATTGAAATATTTTAATCTCGTGAAAGCCCTTATTCCAATGGCGCAGTTTAAAGCTGCCAATAATAGGATTGTTAAGGATTCAATAAACTAACCTAAGAAGAAGATTAAAGATTTGTAGCGTGGTTCCGACAGCTCGAACTATATATACATCAATAGATCAAAGATGATTTTTATTTACAGATAATATGTCAAGAAAACGATTAATACATAATCACTAGAGAACTGGGAAAATAAAGAAGCTTAAAATAAAATTTATGTAGCTATACAGTTACAACTTTTCAAATAAACATGGAACCTTTTAAGTATAATCACTTGAATTCTTTGTCTAAGCCTAGCCTGGAACAAGGAATATCTTCGGGCCATACTTTCATGCGAAATATTCATTCAAGTCTTTCGGAGACAAGAGAGGCCACTGAGGCAATTCAAGACAATTGAAGATCAAATGACTGTTGATTTCTCACTTTTATGACCCAGTATTGTTATACTATGAATGATAATAATCATTGTTTTGTTCAAGAAGTGTGTTCATGTTGCGATTTTTGCAGAAATTGACGACCAAACACTTCAAGGCTGAGCCAAATAATCCTATTTTAAAATAAAGCCTTAATAATTAAGATCATGAAGCTATTCCAAAAGGTAAAAAGAATATTTACTATAAGCAAACCCTTGCTCGTATGAGTTCAGTTGCATCCAATGTGCTAACGTCATCAGGCAATATCACCAATCTCAAAGAACACATTGCGCACCAACTTGCGTTTCAGTTCGAGTCCTGAAAAGGAAGCCAAATGATGCTGTAACACGTGGCATATCGGAAACGAGGTTTGAATGACGCTATATATTCACCCACGACACTGAGTGCATGATTTTATCTTGGTGATCAATATATTCGACTGGAAGTTTCGCGGAAAAGAACGCTACTTTCGCTAACTCAAAAGTAAAAGCGCTCGTCTAATTTCGTCGCTCGCGGTTGGGTTTTGGGTTTTTTTAAACGTTAACCGACAAAATTCAAGTTTACGTAGGAGCGCACGTCACCTTCTCTGGGCTTACATTGTGGACAGTCTCTTATTTGGTCTTGTTTTCAAAGGATCGCCGGTGAGGTACTTAAACTTGAGAGTTGTTTTGTTCCAGAAGTGAAAAAAAAAAAAGCACACGTGAAAGCCACCAGATATACATACAAAGAAAGTCCAAAAACGTAATTACTGTATTTATCCGAATAAGCACCCAACCTCAAATTAGCGTCCACCTCGAATAAGCGCCCATGCTAAAGGCAGAAAAAGTTAATAAGCGCCCAGCCTCAAATAAGCACCCACTCTCAAGGTCCAAAAATTTAATAAGCGCCCAAGGCGGTTAATCGAATAAATACGATAGTCGACTATACCTCGGAGGGTAACAAATTTTCTGTAGCCTCACTACCATGGCGAAAAATTTTGAACAAAAAATGCTTAAGATGCTTTAATGAGAAGTTTTTTTGTCATCATAGACCTTATCATTTGTTTAACTTTGTGACGTCTTATTGAGTTCAAGGTTTAACCGCAAGACACTGCGTGCGCATAGACGGTCCAGACCATAGTTTGCGACATTGCCAATTGGAATAAATGGTGTCCGATAAGGTCATAATCTTACGAGCGAGTGCCATAAGAACGGACGACCAAAGTAGCAAAAGTCTGATTTGCTTGAATATGACAACAGACACGAAATTGGGCTACGCACTGTAAATCAGAAAGACCTGTTTTAGCCGTAAAAATAGGGCCGTTTCGGTGAGTAAAATACAGTCCTATTTTTGAGTCTAATTTGGCTCCCTTAAATCAGGGCCATTACAGTCTAATTAGCTAGGACTGATTTGGTCTAAGGGTTGAAATGGGCCCTACCGTGGGCTGGAATAGCCTTTTGATTGAGCTTTTTTGGCCTAAATTGTGCCCGAATGGCTCCAGGAAGGGCCGAATCAGACTTTGGCCTGCAGGACTGAATTGACACTTTGGGGCTGAAACAGATCTTTTAATTTTCAGAGCAGGAAGTCATGTTACCTGCAATTAATCACTGACAGTGATGGATCCACCGTTCTGTCATAAACAACGAGATCGCCCTAAATTTTATTTCTCTTATCCGAGTAAAACAAACAAACAAACAAACAAACTAACTAAAAGCAAACCACAAGTTAAGGTTTATTTTTGTCCCATAACGAAATGAGTAGTCACGTGATCTTGTCCTCTTCGTAAAATTGCAGTCTTTGCAGTCTGTGGTTCACGTTTGAACCTCTGGACTACCAGGCTTTCTTGCGGTAGGAGATTTACGGGAGCGCTTTATAGCTAGAGATCTTTTAGCCTGTGAATGCAGGCTTCATTTGCAGGCTAGAAGTCTTTCAAAAACTTGTTTAGCAATTCTCTTCTACGTCTGTGTAAGCCCTTTTGTTAATACCATTTCTCTGATCAAATAGACAAGATTTTTTGTCGGGTGTGAAAATTGATGGTTGATAGTCTGAGCTAATGTTTAGTCATTTTTCACCCTTTCCAACTTAAATAATCGACAACTTAAGGAAGCCATCGTCCGGTTTTTGCGCTCCGTAACATACTCCAATTCTCGAGAAAGTACGTGGCTATCAAATAACTCTTTTCACGAGAAAAAAGTGATGCAAGTCTTATGTTTTAGTGCCAGGATGGTCTAACCACTAAGTTCCCCATTAAGGTATAAAACACTGGACGACAAAAGTAGATATATAAGAAATTTTCCTAGGGAAAATATGAAGCAAAAAAGGTGCAAATTAGGAGAACTGCAGGTGCAAAAATAGCAAATGCCACATTCGCCCCTGATTTACAACGCCATGTATCAACATGTAAATTAGAAGGCAAATGTGGCAGGGCAAATTCGATGTTGATCTATTTTTTTTTTCTTCCAGTAAAAGGAAACAAGGAAAGGATTGTGGTGGTCAGGTTTCTGTAAAAAGAGGTTAAGAGTCCTCTAAACACTCACTGTAACGAAGATAAATGTCAACAGCCGGCATTTCAGTGTGAATCTGACCTGAGATAAAGATAACACCGGTCCACCATCAGTGTCCATTGATTGCAAATTGCACTTTGAAATCCGTCGACAGACATGCTGTTAATTTTTCTTACCTTGGCCTAAATAATCCTCCTTGACATAAATGGTTGTGAACATTTCCAAAGATCATTTCCAACTGATCAATTAAAAATGGTTTCCATGCAAACGGCCGATACTTGTAATCACCAACCGATTTTAGCTTCAAGGAATTTGAACCACTCTCTTACATGTATATGGCATGTGCGTTGATACCAATAATGGGGAGAAAATTGGCAACTACAGTGGAACCTCGATATACCGAACCTCTCTATAACGAAGTCCTCGGTATAATAGACGACATTCTTCGCCCCAGCAATAGAAAAATAAATGGAAAATAACCTCAATAACGAAACATGGTTACATCAAACATATTTTGCCTGTCCCTATATAGAGTTTCCACCACAGGTTGAGGACGCAGTGCATGCATGGAACATACTTATATCTGGCCAGTAACAAGAGTTATTTAGCAAGTAGTTGACACTATTTTCAAGCAATCCAGTAAACTTGAATCAAAGAAATTATTAAACCAAGATATCGAGTTTGATCCACAAAGTATTCATAATAATTCCATCGTTATAAGCCCCCCTTTATTAGTCAAATGAGCTTATTCATATAAACATACTCATTCGTTCTTACTCTTCAGGCAACCGTGAACTCTTTGAGCAGGGTTTTCCCGACAGGTGAATAAATTTGTAACCGTTCTCAGCAACCTGTTGTTTTGCCTTGGCGTTCTCTTAAAGGTGGCTGAGGCGACTTCTAATTATTTGATTCCATTCAAGAATGACTCAATTACCCCGGTGGAGTTAAACTTGACAATAGTTTATTAAATGTTTGTTTTTAGATTAAGTGCAACTAAATGTTATGATATGATCAATTAAGACATATTAATGGCCCAGTACTGTGTCGAACAACAGGTGAATAGTGTCTTGTTAAAGTTAGTCCACTAAACCATGTCTAGTGATTCATTTTACTTCTCGTTGTTCCTTAAACTTAGAAAGATTCACTTTGCAGACATGCAAACACAACAAACAGGCAAAATGCGTCCTGTTTGTCAAAAAACACAACATTATGTACAGTAAAGTTAGAGCGCGAGTTAAATTAAGAGCGTTTGTTTATATTTGTCCCAAATTCGTTATAAAACTATTAGCAGCTACCTAATAGTAGATACTCTTAAGCTTCATTCGTGTTTCTACAAAACCAATAGAAAAATTAGTACAAATGAATCAAAGGCATCGTACACGTCACCGTCATAAGCTGTAAGTGACATGGCGCAAAATATTTCATCAAGTACACAGAAACAAATCTGTCCAATCGATTTAAACATGAAAATTACAGTTTTCTCAACTGTAATAGGTAATCTTAACGCCGAACCATTTGTTTAGGTTCTTCTATGCTTTTGCAGCTGAAAGCAGAGACTTCAGAAATCACTGAACCGAAAGTTGCTGCCAATGAAAAAATGTTTTCAATGATATCTACAAGTTCAAGACGCCTTTTCTTTTATTCGGGCTCTGTTCATAAATCATCGACACTGTTATTCATAATAAATGCCGTAAACAGTGCCCACGGCAAAGAAATCCTTTGTCTCAAAGCTAGCACTTACAACAGTATCAAACTGATCATTCCATAAACATCGGCTGGCGATTCGTAAGCCCTGTGACGCCTTGGAACCAATAGTAACTAAACATACTATCTTGTATCGTTCAATATTCAGTCGCTTCACGTTTTCCAACACTCTAGTACTCAGCAACTTGGCAAGAAACGGTGAATGCGTGGGACTGTAGGTATGGCTTTCTAACTTCTCCAGAACCTCGTTAAGCACCGCTTTTACCTTTACCTCCGGAAAGCGAGTCTTTGGCTCTCGACGGTACGTGTTCTCGAAGGTATTTTTTCGAGCCTGTACGTTATCCTTGGTTTCATTTGGTCTTTTAAAGTTGGAGAAATACATTGCGCCGCAAATGCGTCTAGAGGACCTTCTCGGCGAGGAGCTATCTTGAGAGTGTTTTTGATCACTAAAGCTTTCTACTGAAACGCGCCGTTGGGCTGAATTATCCGGGGACGTTCGCTGCTGACTCCCATGTAAGCTATATTGCAAGCTCTGACTTCTGCTACGAGAAGCAGGATCGGTCATCATTGAAATCTTGACTGAGCTAAATGGAAGGGCGTCTACTTCTAATGCTAGCCCTGGTCTTCTCGTGATAAGAAATGAAAGATTTGCATGGTTTATGAGTCTCATACAAATACTGCCGAACAATCAATATAGCGATAGTAATCTCCGTATAAACAATTGCTGTCTTTATGGCGTACATTAATCGTGCTCATGCACGAGCTGAAGGCTCACGCGTAGGCTTTTGTACATTATGCTTTTGCTTCCCTACTAAAATGCTCCACCTTAATGCTCCATTTTTCCCACTAAAATGCTCGGTCTCTCCAAAAAAGTCACTAAAATGCTCTGATAATGCTCATTATACAAACGGTTTTTTTAATTAATTTCAAAGTTTACACTTACAAAAACGTTCAAGTGTCGCAAGTAACAACGACAACGTGTACAAGTTCATAAATACAGCCAAAAAAAAAAACAGCTGTATTTAGGTTTTTTGTGAATTTTGAATTTTAGTCTTCATTTTGTTTAAAAAAGCAGGAGCTCATGGGGCATGGGCTCCTGAATAAAGTTAATTTCTATTTTATTTTCTCGGAAAAATTAATTTTCCGGGCCAAAGGCCCCTAAGATGCTCGAATAATGCTCAATGCTTTTGCCTCACTAAAATGCTCGAAAAAATGCTAGCATAATGTACAAAAGCCTACTCACGCGATACTCAATTTCCTGTTTTCCTCAACGGCCTGTGACTCCTCTTGGCTTTATAGTCGCTACGAAGAAAAAAATTCAATTGTAGGTCGTACAATTTACAGGCACTTAAGAGATTATAGGGCGAAGTTTGAAAATTTATTAAATATATCAGTGCAAAAGACATTTTTTCAACGACACATTTTGGCATCAACTAACTAAGGTAAAATATTTAGTTGAGGTCAGAGAACAAAATCTAAATCGTTATATCTTTCATTCTTATGGACAAGCTAATCATGTAACCCGACCAAAAACAATCGATCCAGATAACATTTAAAGAGAATTCTCTAGGTAAATTACTGAGTTCCTAATTAACAGGTATATCTTCAACCTTTGTCAGTATTTTCTACTGTTCCTCACCGTTACAAAGTCGAGCTGGCTAAAATTGAACGACTACTTTTCTTGTTACAAGGCTCGACGCGATTATTGCCATTCCTTGAGGTCACTTTGCAGAACAATTTATTGATCTCCCTCTTAAGGTCTTCCTTGAAAAAGGCATAAGCCAATGGGTTTACGGCGGAATTTAAAACTAAAATAAGATCCCTATATTTACCTCTGTCACATTTATCATTCACAATAACTGCGAAAATGCAACGGATATTAAGCCCACAAAATACAAGAAACAAGGAAACGACAATTGTCATCATTATCAATGCAGACTTCTCTCGACGTTTGTTGGATCGCAACTGCCTTCCCAAAAAGGTCGCTACTTGGTTTTGCTTACAAATAACGCGTAGCATTGATGCAAAACAAAAAGTTATCATTAAACACGGAAATAAGTAAAATAAAACAAAAGCTAACAGATGGAGAGCGTGTAAGGCGACAGTTGTGTTTAAACTAAATAACAGAAAAGATTCAACCAAAATGAAAGCAACAGATACTCCCCACGAGAAGGAACTAAGCAGGATTACACGTCCAGAAGTCATAAGGGTTAAGTATTTAAAAGGCTTTACAACAGCTAGGTAGCGATCTAGTACCAAACTGCACATGTTCATCACTGATGCATCGAGGAACAGCCACTTAATAACCATCAGGCCTCTGTATAATGAGTAATTGCGGCCAGTCCTTTCAAAGAAAAACATCAAGGGAATCACGTTCGCCCCAACAAAAAAGTCTGCTACTGCGAGAGATACGACAAAGGTGTTGGTTTTGCTTCGAAGAGGCCGTCTGCTTAACACAAGGAAGATGATAACTCCATTCCAAGTCATCGTCAGAATGGAAAGAAACCAGCCGAGAATCCAAAACCAATTTTCCATCTTCATCTTTTAGCCGTTGTTCATGGAATTCAGGTGATTAAATTATGAATCTTTGTTGCTGTAACTCGCTTTAACTGTTGTCTTTCTCATCGGCTTCTTCTAGTCGGTACTGAATCCTTTTTTAACAGAATGATGATTGAAACATCCATAAGACAATACTGACCACGTCGGCCTGAACAGCGTCAGTTTTACAAAAGGTGCTTAAGGTTGAACCTGCCTAACGGGATAAGGAACTGTCAAACTTCCCTTACCCCTGATTAGCATTCAAGCCAGAAAGGCCATTATATGGAAAGATGTAAATTGTGCTGAAGTTAACTGCTATTGGGTTTCCCGGTGTATTCGACGTTAGATGAAAACAGTTTAACAGCTAAGCTTAAAGGGTTCCCTACTGGCTTGATTGTTTGCAAATGTATTTCCCCTTGAATTAAACAAGACTACAGGCAAATAAAAGAAATTAAAAGTCCCTATGAACAAAGCTATTATTACGACAACCGTAACCGGAAGATATCAGCGCCCAACAACTTTCCATTAATTGCTTCGCTTTTTGTTGATGTAGGTTTTTATTCAAGATGTATGTCACGACATTTGCTTTATTTTAAAACTTATTTCAGTTTTCAGCTGTTAGGCCGGGAGTATTATTTTTCATTCACATAAGTACAACAGCTAATGAAATGAAGGCCGGGGATTGCAAACAGTGACAGCAAATTCGTAGAGCCCGAGCTGTGTCGGTTGTTTTATACAGTCTAAGCACAGAAATAAATGCCTTCCTCCACATATAATGAAGTGGATAGGTTTACTAATGAGCGTCGTCTCTCTACTTCAATAGAAACAATAGGCTTGCCTAGACTTGCCCGGGCTCTTTTAACCCTGATTGGTTCATGTAGAATCTATTCTGTCTTCCAAATAAAAGCGGGTAGATTTCGAAAGCGCTATCTTTCTTGCAATCGCTTTGCTGAGGAAAAAGTCTTACCATCACCAATATTCCTTAAAACATTGCTCCAAACATGCAAGTCGAATCGAGCGCTTCACCTCTATTGACGATTGACGAAATGGAAGAAGTCGAACGTCAACGGGTATCTAGCCTTATTGGCCATGTGTTTCAACTGGCTTATGCGGCTACGGATGACAAACTCATTCAAGAATAAAAGCTGAATCAGGGGCATCCAACGTCAATTTTCGGAAAATAGCTGTTCGGAAGACCATTTGAGATCTAGAATTTTCGGAACATTTGTTGTAAAATTTCTTGCTTGCCTGCCTCTCCTAGGATTTTCGAACATCTAAAATTGGTATAATTGCCCATTTTTAACGGATTTTTACTTGAAAAAGGTCACCTAGAATTTTCGAGAGCCTTTTTTCTCGCTGAAATTTTCGAAAAGGTAAGTTTTGATCCCTATAATTTTCGGATCACTAGACTTTCAGCTAGGAAACCCGAACAGATGAAAAATTTTTAGGGGATAAAAATATGCCCGTATCTCTCTTTTAAATACTAAAATACGTTTAACAATGCTATGTTTAAGTGTTTTTCAACCATATCCTCGTTGGGTGCCCCTGCTGAATCGCTGCCACGGTTGTGCTATTCAACACCCAAGTCAAAACCAACATTCTTGCCTCATGATGGATAATGATGAGGCATGGATGTATTACCATGATGAACTGCTGGAACAAATTGACCTTAATGGTATCTTAAAAACGGCTGAAAGTGTGTGCAGTGCTCTTGGTTTCAAACTTGGCAAAACGTGGGAAGCGTACGTGACCGAATTACCAAAGTTGCCTTGGACTAGCATCTGGAACTCGAAGATTATGGTCCAGACAACTGAGAAGGCGCAGAATTGTTTACAGAGTTATGCATATTACCGAACTTTTTTTTTTTTTTTTAAATAAAAACACTGAATGTTCAACTAAATTGAAATTATTTCACTGTTATCTTATCGGATTGGCACAGGGAGGAAATAATTACACTTTTCTTCTGTACACTTTATGATGCTTCCAGGTACTTAATCCACGTCTTTTTCGCCAGTTTGAGGAGGATATTAAAACTAACGAAACTACTGATACCCATGCATTGCAAGTTAATAACTTTGAACAAAGCCTGATTGTAACACTGCTTGTGGGAGCAACTTTTAAGACAATAAACCAACAAGTCAAGCTTTAACAGTGTTTTATTAAACACCTGCAACCAAACCCAAAAATTAAGCTCAGATGACTCTGACTGCTGTCAAGAATAAATATGCACGGATATATATATATATATCTTTTTTAATTGGTGGACAAAATTGCCGAGCCGGTGAGGCTACAAACCTTTTAAGTTACTTGAAAGTTAATATAAGTTTTTCCTTTATTGCTAATATTATTGCGCCAAACTTGCCATGGTTCTCTTTACAAATGATCATGGAGATTGCCAAGTCTCCATTGTTTTGTAAGCAAGTCGGTTGCTACAAACGGACAGTGAAGTCCTGCCGAATGATTCCAATTTGACATAAAACTCGACGCACGAAAGATGGCGGTTTCTGTTGTTATTTACACGTTATCAGTAAATTATTGGATAATTAAAATTTTGCTCAGCTACTTCCCTAACAGCTAAGTAACAAATGAGATGATTTTTGTTAGTTAGGTGAGATCTTTTTCCTCACAGGTATGCGAAATGCTTACTTGTTCACATTAGGAAACCTAAATGCCTTTCTTAGAAGCAAGATATTTTCTTCTACTTGACATGCAGTAATAAAGCGAAGAAATTAAAGATCCTCTTGTGCAATTTGTTGTGTTTTCAAACTTTTGACATATTTGCATTGATTTGACACAATGTGCGACATCAGCTAGAGCAAAGTGCCATCTTAATTAATGTATTCCTGATCACAAAATGCAGAGGCGAAAATTAGCCCCGAAAAATTTTCAGCCTAAAAAGAATAACGGATAATGAAATTTCTTAAGAATATAAACCCTTTTTCGGACTCCGGTGAACGGCAATGTATTCAGCACCAAGAGAACACACGTCTTCTAATGTAATGGTTATCGTTTAGCCAAACTCTTTTT